CAAACTCAGAAAAAGACCAACACGATGAAAACAGAATCAACTGCAGGGGATAACGAGGACAACAGCCCGAATATTGGCTCACATAATTCTAATACACTACATACACTGATCTTAGCTGGACTAGTGACAGAGATCCAGATCGAAAGATATTCGTGAATGTGTTTGGCCTATGGGGAGACAACATATCTGAAGAATTGAAAAACTTTTGGATTGTGGTGGTAGTGAAAATTGTCGACACTGTGATAGAGGTTTTCAAATCTTGGGCATAGTTCAAAGTGGAAAAGGTTATCGCCAATACTGTTTGAAGGATATCTTCTCACGTGTGCATCCACTGACAGGAGACCATACTGTTTTCCATGTAAACTTTGTGCAAAAGCACATGGCCTCTTTATTTGTGGGTACAATGACTGGAAACACAGGGTTGGAAGGCTTTCGCCTCATGGGAACAGCAAAATATACAGAGAGGTCATGATAGCAACGTGCACAAGACAATCAGGTATCGGCTGTGTAGACAATAATGTTGTATCGTTGTTTGAGAATGAACGTGATTATTGGCGTAAAGTGCTACAAAGGGTGGTTAAGTTTCTCTGTGAACGAGGACTTGCATTGCAAGGTAGAGACGAAATCCTAGGGTCTACACACAGTGGTAACTATCTTGGTATACTAGAACTTCTATCAGATTATGACTCATTTAATGCTGAACACATAAAGCACTTCATCAACAAAGGCAATGGACATACGTCATTTCTATCGTCTTCTATTTGTGAAGAACTAATACGTCTTATGGGTAACAACGTACTTCAGGATATTTTCAAGGAATTACAATCAACTAAATTTTATTCACTGACTGTCGATTCAATGCTAGATGTCATACATTTTAACTAACTCATTTTTGTGGTTCGTTACATTTTCCCAACTGGTTCTGAAGAAAGATTCCTGAAGTTCTTACTAATGTCAGGCCACAATGGCCAAAACATGGCTGAAATGATACTGGCCATTTTGGATGAGAAGGGTATTGATATAAAAAATGTTGTGGTCAATCTTACCATAATGCTTCCAATATGGCTAGAAAATATAGTGGTGTTCAAGCTATCATCTGTGACAGAAACCCTAATGTACTATATATATATACCATGTGCAGTTCACTCATTAAACTTGGTTGGAAAAAGCTGTGTCGGGTGTTGCCCTGTGGTTGTAAGATTCTTCTACATAGTAAAAATGTCATACAATTTCTCTCTGCATCAACACATCACTGGTAATTCCTTTGTGGCAAACTAAAACCTTTAGGACTATGTGTTGTCAAACAACCTTCTGAAACTCGGTGGTCGGCAAGATATGAAGCTACTTCGATCCTTTTGGAAGGTTATACCCTCATAGACGAAGTGCTGACATCCCTGACAAGTGACGTTTGAGCATAAAGCTGTATGAAGAAAAGAAGCTTGATAAATCATTGATAAATTTGGAGAAATAGATTCGAGTATTCTCATCGTTATTTGGCATACATTCTTGAAACGATTCCATCACACAAGTCTCGCACTCCAACAAACTGGCTTAGATCTCAATGTTGCTATGCCATTATTGGATGCCCTTATCCAATTTGTTGAAGATAAGAGAACAAGATTTGACGAATTCGAAGACCGAAGTGCTGAACTATGTGGTCATATTGAGTATAGTTCAGTTCAGAAGCGCGTCCTGGTGCTCAACCATCGCCATGATGATGGAGATCCAGAGGATATCATACTATCACCCAAGGATAAATTCAGAACTGAAGTATTTATTTTTGTTGTGGTCGACCAACTTGTCACTGTATTAAAATATCATCTTGATGCATATAAAGATGTTGCCACCAAATTTGGATTTATTTCCAAATTACCATCTCTTTCATGTCAAGAAATCAGCCAAGCCGCAAAATGACTTGTACATTCTTTTTCGAACGATATTGAAACCGAGATAGGAAACGAATTGATCCAGTTTTCCACACTGGCAATTTCAGAACTTCGATGTTCATTCACACAATCTGAACCAACAGAATCAGTGGAGTTAAGAATGTACCTCTGTCTCCATAGACAGGCTCTTGTCCAAAGATTTTCTAATGTTGGGATAGTGCTCATAATATACTTGTCCATGATGGTATCAAACTGCAGCGGGGATCGGTCGTTTTTGAAATTGACACGAATAAAAGTGGGTTGAGGAAAGAATAGGACAAAGCCAACTAAAGTGTCTGTCTATAACGAACATAGAATGTGGCATACTTCGAAAGCTAGACTTTTCGAAACTCGCTGACGAGTTCAATTATAATAAAGCCAGAAAAAAAAAAAACTTTATACAGTTATATGCAGGTTCTAATCGAGTTGTCTTCATGATCATTCATGAATGAATAAAATGTGTTTACGCACGTTTGTGGTTTGTTTATATTTTTTCCAGTGTAACAAAACTACATATATCATTAAAATGTTCTTACATGTATGTCCTTAACACTATGATTTTGACAGAGAAGTTGACTCAGTTCGCTAGAGATCAATATATAGATGATGGGAAGGAGGGGGAGGCTTTTGTTCTTCTAGTGCCCCGGAGCCCAAGCCACCCTAAATCCGTCATGAACATATCTGTAGAAAATCTGGGAGCTAGTCAAGCATCACATGGCATGGTTTGAATAAATGTAATATAAGCTTCTTCTGAATCTTTTAAACAGAGGATAACTGGTTATTCTTTGTGAATTTTCACAAAGTCAATAGCTAATCTTTTATCTATTGATAATATAAAAGTTTGCGTAAACTTAATGTTCTCTTAGCTTACGTAAAAAAATATAACCTAACTTTCTGTTACAGTAACGTTATTATAATTTTGAAGTTTTATGTTTTGCGTAACATTGTACAGGAATACTCACGAGCAGTATTATCCCGACTCCAACTGCAGCTAACTAAAAACAATATAAGTACATGTTAATTTCAAGGTTTATTGGATTTCAAAGTTTAATGGTAAAATGAGAAGTTCTAAACTAAATTGATCGCCCGTCTTCTAAAGACATATACATGCATATTTATAATTTTCGTATTTCCCAGATTAACACCTTATATTTTAAAATATCCCACATTTTTACTAAAACTAATTTAACTAATTATTTTACTAATACTTAGTTCTTTACTAAACTAAATTGATCGCCCGTCTTCTGAAGACATATACATGCACATTTATAATTTTCGTATTTCCCAGATTAACACCTTATATTTTAAAATATCTCACATTTTTACTAAAACTAATTTAACTAATTATTTTACTAATACTTAGTTCTTTACTAAACTAAATTGATCGCCCGTCTTCTAAAGACATATACATGCACATTTATAATTTTCGTATTTCCCAGATTAACATCTTATATTTTAAAATATCCCAAATTTGTACTTTTATCTTTGCTAAAATGAAATTATCTTGAAAAATGTAGTTCATTTGCGTCTGTTCCTGATTTCCCGCTGATGAAGTCAAAGTATGAGAAAATATTTTTATAACAGCTCAATTCGTAACAGATAAGTATAGATAATTCAAAAATACTGAACTGTTTTATGGCTTTCTATTTTGTTATATCAACCCCATAGGGAGGATGACATATTGTATTACTCATGTGTTGTTTTTTTTTTCTTTTCAACAACTACAAATATGTAGTTTATATTTCCAAGCCAATCATCTTGAAACTTGGAGGACATATAGCTTGGTTCAATTTGCACAGATTGGTGCTTATTTTTTCATTTAATCCCTTTTACATTTTTGAATATCAAAGGTCAAATATTGCAAAAACATATTTTGGCCTGCAGTTCCCTTATATTTTCATTAATCCAAATGAGACTTAGCACAAAGAACCTCGACATTAAGGGCACCCTTCCAACTGTGTCCAAATGCCTTCTAAAACAAGGTATCCTTAATTAAAAAAAAAAAACCACGCAAGGCTGGAATCCATACTGACCATACTAAATTTCTGAATTTTAAGCCATTCTGTTTGGTGTATGCAGGACACGGGGGTTTGTGAGTTGTAGGTTGCCATGACATTGTGCGTTGCCAACAGGAGATCTCATAGAGTGGATTAGCTGTGCCGCTGAAAATAAAACAACAAATCACTGCTTGTGTCATTAGACGGTTTACGTAACACCGTACTACGATACTATCAAGAGCGACAAATCATGTGCACATTAATAAGCCAAATTGATCCCTGCTCCAAGAACCCTTATGGAATGTATCAGCTTATGTATCCTATAGTGTTTATAACGAGAATTACCCAGAATAATAAGATCGCACTTTGAATCTGTGAAAACGTTGATTACCGTATATGGTTCGGAATCGATCCATAATTGTTTCGAGGTGTCCGTTAATCGAGGTTCTACTTTATCTTAGAATGACCCCCACAGATTAAGCAGTCATACTTGGGATTTTTTTCCTTTATATTTGACAGAGTTCAAAAGCTAAAAATTTGCAAAGTTAGGGTTTTAGACATGCCATTCCATTATATTTCGACCAATCTGCATGAGACTTGAACAAAAATACCTTGCGACAGCCCCACAGACAGAAACAGAAAGATCTGGGATTTGTACCTTTCTTGGGATTCTACAGCAATCAAAGGGCAAATAATTTCGCAGAGTTTTTGGTCTGCTATTCCTCTACATTTTGCTCAATCTAGATGCATCTTTGCACAAAGATACCTTGCGACAATCCCCACAGACTGAAGCAGACAAGTTTGGGATTTGAACCTTTCTTTTAAGTTTACATGGGTCAAAGTTCGAAAATCTTTGCTATTTATGTAATAGGGAGCTCTAAACCTAGGAGCATCGTCTGCATACGTTAACGTTACAAGGGGTTTTAACAGTGTTTCTATTCATTTAATGCATAAAAGTGCATATATATATGGTGTCAACGAATTGGCATTATTTGCCTAAACATTGCCTGAAAAGTGTTGCCACTGTGAATAAATCTATTTACGCAAAAACTTACTGTCCTTTGTACTACAAAATCACAATTTAGTGTGCTCTAATACCTCTATCCCATAATGAAGTCTCAAGTTGATGTGTGTTAAGTGTTTATCACTCTGAAATATATTTTTTGTAACTTATAGTTTTAGTGTTGTAATTTATTTATTAGATAGAGGGAGTTGTGGGGATTTGGTAATGTAAAGAGACCTGGGCCCGGCATGGCCACGTGGTTAGGGCGCTCAACTCGTAATCTGCGGGTCGCGGGTTCGAATCCACGTCACACCAAACATGCTCGCCCTTTCAGCCGTGGGGGCGTTATAATGTGACGGTCAATCCCACTATTCGTTGGTAAAAGAGTAGCCCAAGAGTTGGCGGTGGGTGGTGAGGATTAGCTGCTTTCCCTCTAGTCTTACACTGCTAAATTAGGGACGGCTAGCGCAGATAGCCCTCGTGTAGCTGTGCCCGAAATTCAAAACAAACAAACCTTCCCTGCCTTGAATTCCACTCTCTTGAAATCAACTGAATTCTGAATTGAATCAACTAAATATCAAATAAGGTGAACGGGGAAAAACAAAGTGCATTCGGTCGAGAATGTTTGGCTTTCTAGTTTAAATCGTTTTCTTTAAATAAAACATACAAAGAAAAAAGTTGCAAATCTTACTTGTTTTATAGGCAATTTAGCTGCTAACAAAGATCGCTTCCGTTTTAAAGTTTAATAATGTACATGAAGCTGTTTGTATCAGAACTCTGTTACTGCTGTTGTGGTATTAGGATGTTCATTTATAGTCTCATCCTGTTCAATAAGCGCCACGTGTGTGGAAGATGGTTCTGTAATTTAATTTTAGAGTATGAGTAATGTTTTAGGGTGTAAACGAAATTAAATGTATTGGTATATGATCTAAAACAATAGAGTGCTACACACTAGAAGCGATACTGGTTGATTTCGTTCCTATACACAGTGTTCTATAGCAGTGCGCCCGTACACAGCAATACGGGGTGAAATAGGTCCAAGTTAGAAACAGGATCGTGAAATAAAATAGTTACTTAAAAATAGTTTGGTGAATCAAAAGCGAATTAGATTTTCAAAGATATTAAGATTTAAAGCTAAATGTTTTCATTTGTTTATTTCAAAATATTCGCGCATAGCCATCTCTAACTTTTGATGGATGGAAATAGTCAACAGCACCCACCGCCAAATTTTAGGCTTTGCTTATCTGATTGAATAGTGGGATTTGAATTTCACTCTTGTAGCCCACCCTCAGCGCCGTTTTTGAGGCAACAGAGAGAGAACCACGAACCCTTGTATTCACAGTCTGAGTACGCTAACCACTAGGCCAAACCCGGCTCCAAATGCTTAGAGTAATAATAAAACAAACTATTCAATCACTTTGATCATTTAAGATGGTGATAAGTCAAACCATGAAAGTGTTTTGTTTTTTTAAATTAAATTTGCATTTAGCAGTGTTTATAGTCGTGCTACTCGTCAAGGCATTACCTATCCCTGTGGTATGGCATAATGAAACAACATCATATTTCAGATTTAACGAAAAGTTTATTTGATAAAAGTAGAATGTCATCTGATAAGTAAAACAAACTGTGCTTACTTTTCTATTACTTTGTTTATCATATACTCTTATGTAGAGTAATAAAGATCAGCCATTTTCCCTCAAGCTTATCCTCTTAGTAACAAAAGTAACTTACTTAACAACCACTTATTTTGATTTTTTGATACACCGGAAAGGAGACGCTAAGGAAAGTGTACATTTTCATACATATTTCAACCTATGTTTTAGTAATTCATTGCGTTAGATCAGACATGAAAGAAAATATCATGATACATCACTGTGTAAACATTCGCTAGCGTACAGATTTCTTGAATATAAAGTACATTTAAACACAGATACGTTTTGGAGCTAACCAGTGCTATATGCTGTCAGTATGTACATATATACAATGATGGAATATGAAAACAAACAAATAACACACATACAGGATTCCTGGTGTCACAAACAATGAGTAATTGCAACTAAATGGTCCCTTAATGATTAGTACAAAACATAATTATAGCAAATACAAAAGACAAGCAAATAAATGGTACAAAGCTAGCATTCTGTATTTGCCACACAAAGCAGTACAATTTATTTTTTCTTTTTTGCTACAATAAGTTTATCGATGTGTAATTATGGTATATTGTTCCAACTGTTCTGTGTTACTCCACAATGCTCACCCAAGTTGTTTGATTGCCGTTTCATCTTCTTAGTTCCATATAAGTCCATACGCCATTAATAATATCCATATTGGAAATTATTACATGCATATTCTTAATTTTCACCGTTCCATCGACCTCTTTTTCCTTTCCTGGTATGGTTTCATCAAATTTCTACATGCTCGAAACCACGAAAGATGAATTCTTGCCCACTGGGTCTTGTTCCTGAAGCAATGACATGATAGGTAAAAATCTACTCGTGTCAGCAGTCAGGGTGCTGCAATTTTGTGTAGATTTCCAATACCATTGGCTAATATGTAAGCCAATGACATGATAGGTAAAAATCTACTCGTGTCAGCAGTCAGGGTGCTGCAATTTTGTGTAGATTTCCAATACCATTGGCTAAGATGTAAGCCAATGACATGATAGGTAAAAATCTACTCGTGTCAGCAGTCAGGGTGCTGCAATTTTGTGTAGATTTCCAATACCATTGGCTAAGATGTAGCACACGTGTCAGCAGTCAGGATGCTGCAATTTTGTTATAAAATACAAATTAGCATGAAGAAACCTCAGTGGATATGAGCTGCTTATAAACCACTGCTTAAAAACGGGCATCAGATTTCAAACAATGGAATGAGAAAATCTGGAAGAGGGTGTTCATTGGCAACGATATCAAGATCAAAGTACAACATCTACAATGAAGCATACTGGAGGAACAACAGAAGTAACATTTACTCCTGTACTTATAGCTATGTCATTGGTAAGATCTATACTGAGTTGTCGTGATCATGTAAAGAGTATACCCTGAGTTACTTAACATCACTTTTAAAGAGTTTCGGTATTCTACCTTCATCGCTACTAATATCAATAGTACTGCTTTCGTGTACTGTCTTCAGATTTTCCAAACAACTCCTACTAAATCATCTAACTCAATCTGTCGCATGAAATATCCTTAGTTATATACCCTGAGTTACTTAACATCACTTTTAAAGAGTTTCGGTATTCTACCTTCACCGCTACTAATATCAATAGTACTGCTTTCGTGTACTGTCTTCAGATTTTCCAAACAACTCCTACTAAATCATCTAACTCAATCTGTCGCATGAAATACCCTTAGTTAGCCAAAACGTAAGTTTCTACACGTTTGTCATTTAGAATTTTCGTTTTAAGAGTCTGTAGTTCTATAGCCATTACGTTGGTATTACACTGGCTAATTGGTTGGATGACAGCCAATCACAGTATATTTTCAACATGTGACTGTACTCTAGTGCAGATCATTTTCATACAACAGAAGGGAAGCAATCCCATAATAATCGCATTTTATACTCAGTTTATTCACTATTTCCATAATTATTTCTGATATGCGTATACAAGCATAATAATCAGGTTAACAATTTGTCCACCTGAACCCCTACACTACTCTTTAATGTTAGAGATTTTCTGAAGAAACGAAAACTGACTCTCAGTTTTAAATTCAGAAAATTTCATAGATAAAAAAAAACTAGTCATTTGCAAAATTTTGTAAACGAATAACGAATTTATCACAAGTCGGTGAATAAGTAAGGTTGTTAAGCGCAAAATGCTCTGCCCAATGCGGGTATCGAAACCTGATTTTCAGCACTATAAGCCTTCAGACTTAGCACTGAGCCACCGGGGGGAACGTCCAACAGAATAAACACCATATCAAAATAATTTAAAAATGGAAATTATTTTTGGTTATTTGTTATGTCTGAATTAATCTACCACAATGTAAATAATACTGATCTAATATTGACACTGATTAACGAATTATTTAAAACGTTCCTTCTTCAAGGCCCCCCAGTGACCCAGCGGTATGTCTGCGGACTTACAATGTTAGAATCCGAGTTTCGATACTCGTAGTGGGCAGAGCACAGATAGCCCATTGTGTAGCTTTGTGCTTAATTACAAACAAACAATCCTTCTTCAATCTAAAGTCAACTTAATGCACAAATTGTATATTTGTGAAAGTGGTTCTTGTAGAAATATGATTATACCATTATCGATCAGGTAATGTATATGATGATTTTTTTTTGAGTCAGTTAACATTATTAGAAGTTGAATTGTTAGCTTATTACTTGAGCACTAGTGTATCTTATAAAGTTTACAAATATTCAGGAGGAATTCGGAAAAACTTCCCTTTTCTAAAGAATTCCTTAAAAAGTACTTGATTCCAAATCCTTAAAATTCCTCATATTAGACATGAGCTAGAACTAAAATGTAAAAATTATGAAGGTTAGAATACCCACTTCAGTACGCTAGTATTTATTCGATATTTTTGCTTTATCCTATAATACATATATATACATATATACGATTTTGAATCGTAAATCAGCAAGTCATGACAAACACAGCCGGTATAATGTCGAGGTGGTTCGGAATGTATCAGAACTACATTTTCACATTGGCGTCCTCGTAGGTACTGTGAAGCCACCTAAAATTCTTCACTTTTGGGAATGGCATTCAACATACGTTTATGAGGCAGAATATACATGTACTCAGATGTCTTCAGGTCATCAATTTAGAATTTCCAAAGTGGTAACATGACTTGTACATAATGGAATTGGAAAACAAAGGAACATGCATGATCTTGATTCACCAGGTCCACTCACCAGGAAAAAAACTGAAACAAGTTGTATCCAAGCCGGGTTAAGCTTAGGGCGGTGAGAATTCGTGCACACAAAGATTAGTGGCATAAGCCGCCCATGTGTCCCAGACAACAAACAGAAAGTTAACCAAGAAGTTCTTCTGGAAAATACACAAATCACGTGTACAAAGTTGCTTCTGGAACATGCCTATTTAAACATAATATGCCTCAAGCAGCTGGATAATATAACAAATAGTCATGCTATTCCATACAAAAACATACTAGTCAAGTCTCTTTGGATTTCTATGCGATAAGACTGCTGATATGGGCAGTGGAGAACTATCGGCCTTGAATATTAGATGAGTTATGTAAAGCCACCAGGGAGAAAGGTTGTTCCTTGAACATGACTTTCTCTTTCAATTGACATTTCGCTGGGGAGCTATTGTTGAGATGCACAGTCGTCAGACAAAGCATGATCAGACGTGACAACCCGGGCTGTAACGACGTGGTGAGGCTTCTAAGTCATTTTAATATAACGTACTCAACCTCTCTAGAACAAAACATTTTTAATACTGTAATAGTTACAATACTTTATCGAAAAAAATGGTAAATAAGAGCCTCTTCACAAAAGCATACTTTACTAATTTATATAATTTGACGTACAAAAGTGATCTATTGTGAATTTGGGGTCAATGTGACGATGATTTGGTTCACAACATTAATACTCATTGTTTCTTGTTACGATACCTGTTTCGAAACTCTATCTGGAACTTGAGCAGATACATTCTTTGTGATTGAGCATTTACCACAAAATAATACATCACTGTCCTCATAATATAGATTGCAGAGATGTTATTCAGAGAATTATAAATATCTCAAACAGCAAGGAAAAACAAGAATCTTCATCTTAGCTTAATGGTAGACTTCTAATCCACATGGTAAGAGAGGGTTGACCACAAAACGTCACCATAGGACAAAGACAAAATAGAAACTAATGTTATAAAGCACTTATAATTCAGACCAAGGGATCCTATTGCGATACCCCACATTCCTTAGATTACATACATCAAATACTTTTCGAAATAACGTATACAGGAGAGAGAGAAATAACCGGAACTCATACCAACTTGTACAAGTGTCTGTCACTTCTTATGGTGAAATTTAACCATCCCAGAGAGTGGACACAAAGTCAACCTGGTACAAGCTTCCTTGAGATAGTATTGTAATATGTAACTTTGTTTTAAACAAGGATTAGATATTGGTTTACCAGAATGTAAATAACTACACAAAAAGTAGAGAAGTTATCTGAATATACCTTACTAAGTATTTATTCTAAACTTGTCATGGAAGGAAAAGATTAACAGTTATTTCATTTGCCCCCCCTCTCCTTTGTCTTATTGTCGTCTAACACCTGATGAGTAAAACTGAACAATATTGGGCAAATCAGAAAGTTAACTACTGGTTGTAAGATGAAAATTTATTTCCCTAAGGTGACCCACAAAACGCTATAACACATACATGAAGCCAACAAAGAATTACAAACAATTCCAACGACTAGTTATAACCAAAATAACGATGCAACTCAAATTAAATTAAATTGAAAATAAAACAAAACCAAAACTGATAATAATAAAATCAAATGAACTCAAAATAAAATAAATTGAAAACATAATTGATATTACAGAATTACAATCCAAAATACACAAAAATCTAAATAAACTAACATAACAGAAATTCACTAATTTCATTATAAAGATTCAAACTATCAGCTTATTTGAGAGAAAATGCACTTTTTGTTTGTTTGTAATTAAGCACAAAGCTACACAATGGGCTATCTGTGCTCTGCCCACCACGGGTATCGAAACCCGGATTCTAGCAGAAATACCGCTGTGCCACTGGGGGGGGGGGCATGCACTTGATGTTTTGACTGAATATTAAAAATTGATTCGTTGCATTATTTTTTTACTAAATTATGTCGATTATAGATTAGTATAAGATATGACAGATACATTAAGAAATATGTTATATGTTGTTTTGCACTAGACAGAGAAGCAAATGTAAATTACAGTTCATGTAGATGTAACAGGCCGTTAAATGTATTTTAGTTCAAAATGCAAAGTCATGTTAATATAAGCAAAAAAAAACTAAAAAATAATGCATTTAATTCCCAAATATATAGAAGGCTGCATTAGTTACTATAGTCCCATAATAGAGAAATTGTACAGATAAGATAAATAAGAACATTCATTAGATCTCCATTAGAAACTCTATTTTTGTTCACATAAGCGCATATTTTCCAGGTTTTCAATTTCAAGCCTGCGTCTATAATGTGCTAGAATACCATTCTCAGATTCTCAACTGCAGTTTGAAATGTACTATAAAAGACGAATATAACATACCATCTTCTAAATCAAGCATCTCTCCTTTTGTAGTCATCTCAGTGCAAGTTCCATCAGCTTCTCAAAAGTAGTAAATGTTTTACACCAGAAGTCGTACACTTCCAGAGTGCTGGAAACATTATTAGGTCTATACTCTTTATCCAGTTTGACTTTCCAGCACCTAGAAACTACACTTTGTTTATTGAATCAATGAACATCTTCCAATGTATCCAAACATTTAGCGATTTGTAGTAAAGGAAAGATCACAATGTGCAGTATTATGTTCTGCCATATAAAGTCCACACAGAACCTTGTCTTTTTTTCTATCTCCTATCTTTATGACAATTACCACTGGAAATAATCAAACACTCTCCAAAGGTAATATTTTAAACTTTCAACACCTTCTTCAGTTAAGCATTGAATGTTTCCTTGGCGCTCCAAAGATACTTTTATGGCAGTTGTTTTATTGGATGTGGATCACTTTTATCTATGTAATTATAAGTGTTTTTTGTTCAACCCACTCAGCCATCTGATCCTATGAACACCTCATCAAACTCTGAGCTAATATTACTGCATTGAGTTTAGATTGTTTCCGTGATCCTGAACAAGAGACATTCAATGTTTTGGATGGTGTATGTTTGTTCATGTATGAGGTACAATGGCTGTAACACCAGTTACTCAGTAGTGTGTGTCATTTCTACCTCTTTTTTTACCATGCTGATGACTATTCTAGCTGAAAGGTGATTAACTGAATGTTTGTAATTACAGACCAGCATTGGTAGAATATTCACACTCAGACAAGATCACTGTTTGAACAAGTGTAGCCTGCTGTTCAGACAAAAACAGTACGTTTCATGCACTAGCTCTATCACTGCATCAAGTGGTAATAATGCACTAGACTGAATATATTATACATCATGGAATACTGCTTGCACATTCAGGGTGAATTAATACATCTTCTTCAACATTTATGCATGCAGCCTAATATTTGGGAGCCAATCTGACTGGCGCTATATACATTTGGTAGAAATCTGCAGTTCACCTGTTGTGTATGCAAAACTGTTTATCAACTTACACAGTCGGTTCATCACTAAAATGTTAATGCCTGACGGATCATGAACAACTACCTTCATTTTGCATGTAATATTGCTAATACAAAATCAGAGATTTATCTATCCGCTCACATTTAGCTTATTGCCATTTGCCAAAATGAAGTTGGTGTAAAGTGGTATTTACCACAGAATGCCTTACACACAGCAATGTTATTTAAGGTTCTAGTTGTCCCAATATCTACTACAAACCCAACATCATAACTATGTATCATTATTGTCCCACACATCATTATGCCAATTTCATTGTTTTCTAAACCAGCTGAATTAATGTTTCATGTGGGCTAACTGATTCACTCACCCAAGCCTATGGTCAGTACCAATTCAGGAATGGGAAAGCTGCAGCCACAACTTGTAATCGAACTTCCTTTATCTGAATGCTTACTAACAACTGGTAAAAGAATCTGGACATTTATTAGACCAGTGACCAAGAAAGCTGTTCATAAATAAGTATCTCATCTTATTTCATAAGACATATTCTCGAGAACAACACCCTGCCATTCAATATTTTTAAACCACCCAAGCAGTGCACTTTCAAGATTTGAACATGCTCTTTGAATTGCATTCCCAAAGATAAAATCTGTGGCACAACTCACTGTAAATGTGTCTCAGTCATCAATTTGCTCCTCATCCAAGTGCTAAAAGTATCATGTGCAGGACCATCTAGGCAGAACATCAGGTATTGCACTGCCTGACTCCAAATCCATCTATTCCAAGTAACAACTTGCTTCAAATGCTTGAGAAAATGAACCAAACTTTCCCTAGCTTTCCACTTGAACCTGTTTCACCTTATCTAAGTAAATGGTGGTGCTTTAGAGCTTCGTTTCCAAAATCCAACATAAGGGTTCCAGGGAGGCCTCCACCTTCTCCTAGAAGTCTGAAGATGTGCACTTCCTTTCTTAATGTATGTGACATCTTTAGGTTACGTTTGTAGGGGGATGACTCACCACATAAAAAGTTAACCATCATTACTACTGTAATGAGGCAATGAGTCCTGAAACTGTTCATGGTTTTGAAGAATCATCAGTATATCTTACCAGCCTGAAATATTTCTGACTACTTCCTAATCCTGCTCCATATGATAGCATTACAATGTAATACACTAAGCTTCTTTTGGCATACACATCTTGTTATTTTCCTTGGCTGGTTGCTGTTCGATAGAGTGACTTCAACTGGCTGCTGTGGTTGGAGAGGTTTACACTAATATATCCAAAAGGACAACGATAAGCTAAAATCTAATATTATACAACACTTTTAAGTCAGACCATTGGGTCCTAGTGCATAATCTCAGAATTCTTAGGTTATTTGGGTCAATTACTATTTCAAATAACATTTACAGGGGAAGAAAGAACCACAAAATTTATGCCAACTGTATCAGCCCTTGAGATGGACTTGAACCACCATAGGAAGTTAAGATAGACACATGCTCAAATTTTTATAAGCTTTCATTGCAATGTGTAACTTTTAAATGTTTACAACCTTTTGCAATCTGGTTCACAGAATATCATTAACTACATGCAGAACACCTAGAAGAAAATTTAGAAAAATTACCTTAGTTATTAAATGTTAAAAATGAGTTATTTCAAGTGTGACAAGTACACCTTGATCTCTCAAGAGCTCATACAGTTTTGCATGTGCATTGAAATGGTATATGTATTATTAAACACTGTGATATCTTTTAAAGTGTAATTCAAACATTCTTCTGGCTACATCCATTCTATATGTTCTTCTGTTATTTGAGCTTTTAAATTTTTCACTTCCAATACCTCTAAAGTATGGGACTTTCCATCGAGAGATGCAATGATAACCACCTCTTCAGATTAGGCATAATCACTGGTATAGCCAGGAGTCCCCTGGGGTCTTTGAAAAGGTGGGCCACTGATATGAGGTGTCGAATTGAAATCTAAGTTCAAGCAGTGTTGAATGATAACACATTCTTCAACAATTTATCAGTCTATTGAATTTTATCACAAGCCTAGCATTTAGGTGTTAAGCCAATACCTTTTGCCGATGTTCATTTCAAAGAGTCAGTACCAAATCATTGTTCTCATATGCCCAAACAGAGAATGGCTCTCTCAGCCTTCATAAAAAAAAGGGATTTCGGTGCCATTTTATATGAAAAAATACTAAATGGACTTGTGATAGAGATTTTTATATCACGACACATGTCCTCTGTTATTAAGAACCAACACCAATGGAAAATCATTGGTTAAAAACCTTCCAAAGTATCTTACTTACTATACATTTTTGGTTATTTTATCACAGATATGTGAATCAACAGATGAATACTCCATTAAATGGTGGGTGCTTTCATTTCAGTAAGCGACTATCTGTGTTGTATTTCCCTCTAGGTATGCATCTTTTCTTCTTTTTTGATGTTTTAATCAGGATTTTCCATATACTGTGTGCCTTTCAATGCACTCAGAAAAATTTAAAGTTTGATATTTTATCTGTGAACAGGATAAAGCAGTCAATCAGCTCAATGTGGTTTAAGGTATGAAAAAGGACTGTAGTTTGTTTTCATATCCAAAAAATGCATAGCAACTGCTATAGGATCAGTTTGTGTAAGTCTAGTTCTTGTTACATAATCAAATCTGCAGTTGTTACAACCATTCACTGCAGATTGCAGAGACCAAGAAGAGTGGTTACCTTCTAGGATGTCTTAACTAGACCATGTGAAGTCAATGGTTGTTTTATATTTTACATGCCTCGAGTGTGATAGTTTGAGTTCATATAAGTTGTGCTTTAACCTGTACTATTGATTGGACAGAACTTATCAGTAGTTAGGATTGATCTTTCTCCTATACTTACTTAAGTTTGAGACTTGGAGATTCAACTTATCTTTACCACTCACTGCCTTTATCTCAATAGAGAAGATATTGTGCTCTAAATTAATGGAAGACATCATTGATATAGAAGTAGAGTTTGAGCTATAGCACTTGATTTTTGTATCAATACATGTGGAATTCATGAATGTGGCAAGTTGTATATCCAGCTCCTATCCTAGTGATGACAGCTCAATGGAACTGGTAACTATTGTTTCTTCAATGGGTGGAGCAGCTAACTATAAGGAAATGCCTGCTTCACTCAGTATGCAATGACATGAACGTCAGTCTCAATGACAGTGCAGATCAGCAACTTAGTGAAAATGGTGTATGGGGTAATTAACTGCAGGGGGAAGCTAAAGACATTACCAATAAATATGTCGAGGAAATCTTTGTAGAAACCATGGGATCAAAGATCTAAACCAACTGTATGCTGCGTTGTTTCATGAATGGAGTGCTGACAAAATACCTCGGAACAAAAAAACAAAAAAAAGAAGGCAAATTACCCAGCTGGAGCAGCTTTACTAGCTTCAGCCAAAATGAGCCTTCATGGCTAGAAGACCTCAGAATCGGCTACAGGTCATCTATCATCCAGAAGGTCCTAGTAAACATTCCCATAAACATTGTGTGAATAGATGACAATACTACTGAGCAATACTGAGCAAGAGCTGCAAACTGGATGGATGTCTACTACAACAAGTGGGTGCTGGCAAATCCAAGGCCAAATAGAGAAAATCAAGGTCAACAAAGAACTCAAACAGACACAGACTGAGTTAACTCAAACACACCAGAATCTGTAAAGAACTTGGGATATTTGTACATTATTTGTCTGATCTTGTAAGAGAGAAAGAATGTGACAATTCTCATGGTAAATCTTCCCTCTAAACTGCAATAAGGTAGCTCTCTTGCATATGTATTTATACAACTTCATCTATAAGTTACATTTTAAATAATTTAATTTTCAGTAGTGATTACTCTAAAGGGTTTAATTAATGTTGTTGTATTTTGTTTTCAATATAAACAATTTTCTTTTTGAGTTTTATTAAACTAATAGATTCAGTTTCGCTGTATACTGGTTTTATATATTTTTACTTAATATTGAACTGCACTGAACATTTTCTGCTATTATCATACCTTTTGATCCAAGCAAGATACTTACAAAGATCAGAGCCAAAAAAGTAACTCAGTAAATAACATAACTGATTAAATATACCAGTCTTAGTAGGAGCAAACATAAATATTTAATGTTTCTTCGTGTGTTTCACTATTGAGTTTCGTATTTCAGTTTTAAGTTTATTTACTATACTTTTGATATTGAATTTCGACCTATCTAAGGAAACTTTAATTTTTAAAAATTTAATCTAGGCTTTAGATTTGACTATGCTTTTATATATATATATATA